AGCCTTCCTGCTCCTCTGATGCTGCTTGGCCTGCTGTGTTCATCCAGCTCTACACCTTGTTATCCCAATCTGATCTAGTCCCATTTGCCAGCATTTGGTCCATATCCCTCTAAACCCTTCCTATTGATAGACCCATCCAGATGCCTTTTAAATGTTGTAATTGTACCAGCCTCCACCACTTCCTCTGGCAGCTCATTCCATACAGCACCACCCTCTGTGTGATAAAGTTACCTCTAAGGTCCTTTTTAAATCTTTCCCCTCTCACCTTAAACCTATGCTCCTCCAGTTTTGCACTCTCCTACACCGGGGAAAAAGACTTTGGCTATTTCCCCTATCCATGCCCCTCATAATTTTATAAACCTCTATAAGGTCACCCCTCATCCTCCGATGCTCCAGGGAAAATAGCCCCAGCCTATTCAGCCTCTTCCTTTGGCTCAAACCCTCCAGCCCTGACAACACCCTTGTAAATCCTTTCTGCACCCTCTCCAGTTTCACAACATCCTTCCTATAGCAGGGAGACCAGAATTGAACACAGTATTCCAAAAGTGGCCTAACCAATGTCCTGTACAGCCACAACATGACCCTCCTAACTTGTATAGTCAGAGCACTGACCAATAAAGGCAAGCATGTCAAATGCCTTCTTCACTACCCTGTCTACCTGCGATTCCACTTACAAGGAACTATGAACCTGTACACCTAGGTCTCTTTGTTCAGCAACACACCCCAGGGCCCTAACATTAAGTGTATACATCCTGCCCTGATTTGCCTTTCCAAAATGCAGCAGCTCACATTTATCTCAATTAAACTCCATCTGCCACCCCTCGGCCCAGTCTGCCAGCCCAGGTCCTGTCACAGTCCATTGTAATATCTTGTATTAAGCATTTTTCATGAGGGGAACTGAGTGGAAGAATCAGGAGTTTATACTTCAGTTATACAGGGTCCTGGGGGGAACTACATCTCTACGTCACTGTTTATAACTCCGGGTTCACCCACGACCACTTCCATCTAGAAGGACAAGGGCAGCAGACATATGGGAACACCACCCCCTGTAAGGTCCCCTCCAAGTCACTCACCGTCCTGACTTGGAAATATATCGCTGTTCCTTCACTGTCACTGGGTGAAAATCCTGGAATTCCCTCCCTGAGGGCTTTGTGGGTCAACCCACAGCAAATAGACTGCAGGGGTTCAAAAAGGCAGCTCACCACCACCTTTTCATGGGGCAACTAGGGACGGGCAAGAAATGTTGGGCCCAGCTAGCAATGCCCACATTCCACAAATGAATAAAAATGACTTATCATTTCCACCTTATCTAATTCTGTATCATTGGCAAGTTTGAAATTTAACTCTCAGTTCAGGATTTGGGGACCAAGATAATCATTTTGGTTTCAGGGGTTGGGATTGAGATGTATGAGGATTTTGGGATTTTAGCAGTGGATTTTTTGAAAGATTTTTTTTATCAGTCCCCTAATGGGCCTCAATGATTGGTCAAAAATAAACCAAAAGAACTGCAGAACCTGGGAATCAGAAATAAAAACAGAAATTGCTGTAAATCTCTGTTCTAAAGAAAGGTAATTGGACCTGAAACGTTAACTCTGATTTCTCTGCACAGATGCTGCCAGACCTGCTGAGCTTTTCCAGCAGCTTCTGTTTTTGGTTCTCATTGATTGGCCCCTGGCCCCAGTAACTTCGTTAGAAACAGCTCACTGGTGGTTCATGTTGACAAAGTTTGATTGGTTCCTCCTTACTGAGTTGATTGCTTTGTGATTCCTGCAGTAAATATTGAAGAGATGACCTCGTGGATAATCTGGATCCTGCTGGAGATATTACCAGCCTCCCTTGAGCTGGAGCTAGAATTTGAGTTGGGATCTGTTTCATATCTTTCTCGGGGTTGTTTTTGTTGGTGTTTTGTTCCTACTTTGTATTTGATCCTTTGTTGTTTGCTAAAATGTACCGTTACCTCTGACCTTTACCCTTTGTCCTCTGGCCTATACCCCCCACCCTGCACTGTGGGCTAGCTGAGACAGCAGCATGTGATGAGATATTTGCGACTGGTGAGTGTGCCTGCCTGTGATCTCTGACAGCATGATGGAACCGCGATTGTTCATCAACCATCTCCCATCTCCCCAGCCCTGCAGCAACACTCCCCCTGGCTGTTCCTAACCTCTGGATTATTCATGTTAAACTGTGATGACACATTCAGTGTCCAGTACTGCAGAGTCACAGCTGAACCTGGCAGCAAATGCAGTTAGAGATGTGGTTCTGCAGTTGGGATCTTGCCTTGGTGGTTGGGAATAGCTGATAGTGTTTCTGGAGATGCTGTGCTGGTGTCTCGTATCAATGGCGACACATTTGCTAACTTCATGCGTGTTTGTGGAGATGTGGAATGTGTGAGTGCTGCATGCTGTCACCAGTCTCCATTACAAACTGAAGGTGAAATCAGCAGCTCTGTCTGACCGTGTGAGTAGTGTCATAGTGTGTAACTATGAGCCTGATTGCCCACCAGCTCATGACAGAACCTCAGTCCATCAGTCTCCATGTGTCAAACACTGTGCAATTCCACCCTGAAGCATGACCTACTGCAGAGAGAGGGATTTCCACCTCGGGTTCTTGCTGTGTCTGTAACAGGTGGAAGGGACAGGGACAGGGATAGAGGAAGCTGGACATGGAATAGGGAGACTGAGGACAGTGAGAACTGAGAGTGAGAGCCGAGATTGAGGAGTGAGAGCTGGGGGTGATAACCGAGAGTGAGGGCAGTGAGTGAGGACAGTGACAGTGAGGGCAGTGAGAACCAGGAGTGAGAGTGAGGGCAGTAAGAGCCGAGAGTGAGGGCAGTGAGAGTGAGGGCAGTGGGAGTGAGGGCAGTGGGAGTGAGGGCAGTGAGAGTGAGGGCAGCGGGAGTGAGAGTGAGGACAGTAGGAGTGAGGACAGTAGGAGTGAGGGCAGTGGGAGTGAGGGCAGTGAGAGCTGAGATTTGTATCTTGCTGTTGGAGAGTGGTTTATCTTCCAGGTACATTTATGGTCTAAGCCTGTCAGAGCTCCCATTGGTCCCTTGTGTGAGAGGAAAGAGCAGATTCCAAAGAGGGGATCTGCGAGTAAGTTTTATGTCTGTTTCCATATGGAAACAAAGAGAATAAAGACAGGGTGAGGGATATATCATAAAGCCTAGGGGTGTTTTAGCATCTGGTACCCTCTGTACAATATTTGACAGCAAATATTGCTCACAGCTGTGTTTATTGCAAAATATTGAATGTTGTTCAGTTTGTAGGGTGTGTGTAGACGTTATTGTTCACTCTGAATCATAGACTCTGCAAGCAGACATGAGAAGCTAGGAGATGATCCACTAACAGCTCTTCCATTAAATTGAATCATTAAATTCAATCACTCACTGGGCAAACCCATTAACTCCCACTCTCCACTGTCCCCATGGACCCAAACCCCCTCCCATTAACTCCCACTCTGCACTGTCCCAATGGACTCAAACCCCTTCCCATTCACTCCCACTCTCCACTATCCCAATGGACCCAAACCCCTTCCCATTAACTCCCACTCTCCACTGTCCCATTGGACCCAAACCCCTTCCCATTCACTCCCACTCTCCACTGTCCCAATGGACCCAAACCCCTGCCCATTAACTCCCACTCTCCACTGTCCCAATGGACCCAAACCCCTGCCCATTAACTCCCACTCTCCACTATGCCAATGGATCCAAACCCCTTCCCATTAACTCCCACTCTCCACTATCCCAATGGACCCAAGCCCCTTCCCATCCTGAATTCCTGACCTTGCTGTAGGATTGTTTGATAAACTGTTGTTGAGGAATGTCAGTATTCTTTCCTCAACTACCATTTAATTCTGCACTGACCACATACACTGCACCAAATTGAATTTAAATTTACAAGTGAGAAAACGAAAGTTAGTTTGGGAGTGAGATGATTGTGAAACTGGCACTGATTGTTGTAAAAACCCATCTGGGTCACTCACTTCCTTTTTGGAAGGAAACTGCCATCTTTACTTTGTCTGGCCTACATGTGACAGCAATGTGGTCAAGTTGCCCTCTGAAATGGCTGGCAAAGACACTCAGCAAAGGGCAATTAGGGATGGGCAAGAATGCCAGCCACCCCCTCTCCCTCCCATGAAGGAATAAAGAAAAGAATGGTTCCCTCAGGCTGAGTGTAATATGAGAGGTCATTGATTGTTGGACTTGGGTTTTCAATGCTGAGTTTGTGAAGCTCATTATGTAAAGGGAGTATAAACTATTTATAAAGACTGTGCAGCTGTTAATGTCCCTGTGGATTCAGTGACATTAGTCACTCCAGTTTGGAGCCTTTGATGACTCACTGTCTTTGTCTCTCACCAGTCAGACATTTTATAGTTCCTACTATCTCTGACATTTTATAGCACTGCCTTTTATAATGGTGTGTGTGTGAGAGAGGAGAGAGACAAGACCATGAGGGGGCCCCTTGGATATGCTGATCCCCTACTGACCTGCACACACTTCCCCAATCCAGTAAACTCAGTGGGTGTGACACTCCATATCGCAGACACATGAGCTCACAGACATTTCAATACAATTTCACAATCAGTGTGGCATTTACTCTGTACTCCCTGATCACATTCACTTCCGCCCTCATGATCACACTCACACCCTGCCATGATCACACTCACTTCCCCCCCAATGATCACACCCACACCCCCCTGATCACACTCACACACCCCTGTTTACACTCACACCCCCTCAATCACACTCAATACCCCCGCCGTGATCACACTCACTCCCCCTGATCACACACACCCCCTCAATCACACTCACTTCCCCCAATCACACTCATACCCCTCTGTGATCACACTCACACCCCCCTGTGTTCACATTCACACCCCCCTGTTCACACACACACCCCCTCAATCACACTCACTTCCCCCAATCCTATACAGTTGTATAGGACTTTGGTTCGACTACGTTTGGTGCGTACAGTTCTGGTCGCCACATTACCAAAAGGATGTGGATGCTTTGGAGAGGGTGCAGAGTAGGTTCACCAGGATGTTGCCTGGTATGGAGGGCGCTAGCTATGAAGGGAGGTTGAGTAGATTAGGCTTATTTACATTAGAAAGACGGAGGTTGAGGAGGAACCTGATTGAGGGCTACAAAATCATGAGAGGTATAGACAGGGTGGATAGCAAGAAGCTTTTTCCCAGAGTGTGGGACTCAATTACTAGGGGTCACAATTTCAAGGTGAGAGGGGAAAAGTTTAAGGGAGATATGCGTGGAAAGTTCTTTACGCAGAGGGTGGTGGGTGCCTGGAACGCGTTGCCAGCGGAGGTGGTGGAGGCGGGCACGATAGTGTCATTTAAGATGTATCTGGGCAGATACTTGAATGGGCAGGGAGCAGAGGGATACAGAACCTTGGAAAATAGGCGACAGGTTTAGATAGAGGATCTGAATCGGCACAGGCTTGGAGGGCCAAAGGGCCTGTTCCTGTGCTGTAATTTTCTTTGTTCTTTATAATCACACTCACTCCCCCTGTGATCACACTCAATTCCCCCTGTGATCACACTCAATCCCCCCTGTGATCACACTCACACACCCCTGTGATCACACTCAGTCCCCCCTGTGATCACACTCAGTCCCCCCTGTGATCACACTCATTCTCTTCTGAAACACCTCACCTCCTCCCAAGTCACACTTACTGCATATGAACAGTGTACACAGTGGTCAATGTTAGTGGACAGTGTACCCAGTGGTCAGTGTGGGTGGACAGTGTACCCAGT